AAGTGGACATTTCTGAAGTTTCTCCTTATTTTTAAGAAATAAGTGTTACACTTGCTGCTCATAGTCTCTGAGCAAGTGTGGTTCTAACAGTACTCTATTTGAAAGTTGTTCCTGGAAGTGTTTTAAAAATTACTGACAACTTCACCAGGACAGCCACAGAATTATTTTAAAACTGTTACTGAGTACTTTAGAGTGACTGGGTCTTTTAGCAGAGAAAGTGTATATTTATTAAGGTACATGGAAAGGACCTTTAGAGATTCTATGAATGGGCAACATTTAAACAGCTACCACCATGGCCCCCTCTCCCAAATGATCCACACAAAAGCACTGTTTAGAAGCATAAGGTCTACTCAAACTTAGACAAGTGAAGCACATTTGTTACAGTCTCTATGAAGATTTTCTTGCCATATCCAGGCAATAAAGCTTTGTAACTCTCTGAGTTTCCCTCTGAAATTCTACAGATAGGCTGTTGATAATACCAGGACCTACTCAGGAAATGTTAGTTACATCAAAATGTATACACGATCACCTCCTCTCTCAAAAGCGAAACCAAAATTACAAACATAAAATCAAAACTATCTTTCACTAGACTTAACTGGTTTGTAACTAGATTTAAGCATTACTATCTTCACAAATACTGTTTCTGAACTGTACCAAATCCCAGTTGTTTAATAAACAGTCAACTTTTCTCACTTTCTAATATTATCCTCTACCACTTTCTTTTCAATCTTTACATTCAATTAGGCATCTGATGAAAGCGGCTGTAGTTCTACAAGGATGTAGCTACAAACGCTGCATGAATAGTTGAAATTAAGGCTGAGGTTCAAAGGCGACATTCCAAACTTCATAGGCAGCTGATTAAACAGCCATACCCGTCTCTGCCACACAAATTGAAGTGAAGGTTGGGGAATGCAGGCCAATACACATTCCAAGCTCAGCAATGAATTTTCCTTTGTTTCATGAGTTCGAGTCAGTTATGCCTAAAAATAGCCAATGGAATTCTTTTTTTCCTAAATTAGGAAAAATTAC